GGAAAGAGGCACAGCCTCCTGGCCTAGAGCAAAGCTGCTTTTGCTGTCTAACCCTACATAAAATGCCCAGGGATTGCTCTGCTGTTGTGGCATTCCCTTAGGAGGTTCACAGAATCGTCAAGGTTGGAACAGACCCTTAAGATCATCAAATCAAACCATCCAGGTTGTTACAGCTTCCTAAAACTCCTGCCCTGGACTCCTCCTATCCTAGGGCAGGCACATCTGGGAGGCACCAGTTCCACTCTCCATCCCTCCCCACACCTCCAAAATGCTTCTGGGCTGGGACAAACATCAGTGACCTCCCACATTCCCATTCCAGCAGCTCCAGGGTGTACAGCTTGGGGTTGGGGTGGCCCAGAGAACTGTGCTCCTCACTCCCATCCCCAGGGATCTGGAGAGGGATAGGGGGCCCTGCTGCCAATCCCACCAGCACAGCAGGGTTGGGCCAGAGGAAAAGGGATGGGCGGGAGCTGCTCCCTGGCTGTGAGGGCTCTTCCAAACAAAAGTGGCACTCCCTGTGGGAACAGGAGCAGGAGCTTCCAGCATGCACCTCAGCTCAGCCAGTCACAGGCTGGAAGGAACCACTGGAGGTCACCCAGTCCCACCTTCCTGCTCAGGCAGGGAGCAGTCACTCAGGATCGTGTGGAGGGTGACTCCACACCCTCCCTGGACACCTTCACTCACACAGTAAAGTTCTTCCTTATAGTGTGTTTCATAGTATGTTAAGGTGTTGGAATGGACTTTAGAGCTCATCCAGCCCCAACCCCCTGCCCTGGGCAGAGACACCTCCCACCAGAGCAGGTTGCTCAAGGCTTTAGCCAACCTGGCTGTGAACACTGCCAGGGTTGGGGCAGCCACAGCCTCCCTGGGCAACCTGTGCCAATGTCTTAACAGCCTTACCACACTGTCATGTTCAGGTGGAACTTCCCAAGCATCATCCTGAACCTTTTGTCTTATTGCTGGGCACCAGCAAGCAGATCCTGATCCATCCTCTGACACCTCCATGACAGTGATGAGCTCCGTCTCAGGTGTCTCTTCTTCAGGCTGAACAGCCCCAACTCCCTTAGCCTGTCCTCAGTGAGGTGCTCCAGTCCCCTCAACTTTGCAGCCCTCCTGGCCTCAGTCCAGGAGCTCCAAGGAGCCAGAACTGGACACAGCTCTCAAGTGAAGCCAGGCTCAGCCCTGAGGATTCTTTCCAAAGCACACCCCCAGCACAGTAAAATGCAATCTATTTTATTGGTTAATTAATTATATACAGGAGATTCTGGATATTCACAGTCTTATCAGACAAAGTTACCTCCACAAAGAGCAAGAGTCAAAACAAACATGAGAATCCACTGTAAACAAAACTAGAAATCCTGCTGGGTGTGGTGGGATTGGCTCCAGACACACTCCAAAGGCACTCAAAGTAAAGCAACAAAAGCCAGCTGAGGGACAGAGCCTGGATACTCTGTGCTTCCTGCACGAGGATAATCCAGAGGCACAGCGTGTGGGGACAAAGATGAGGGGACAGAGACAGGCACAGGACAGCAATCACACCCCAAGCATGCTACATATGTGTTGACACAGGAGTTTGATTTACTCAAGTCTCATAACCATTACAGCCTTCACCTCCCTGTGTTATCGAAGGACAGAGAGCAGAGGTTGGGGCTGCCCCCAGGCAGCCCCCAGATGCCATTACCAGGGAGGTTGGGCTCTGCAGCCAGGCTGAGAACACACAGCTGGTGGCATCTGATGGCAAGGGGCAGGCTGGGACACAGGGAGGTTAGTGGCTTCTCTGGATTGTCACATTGAGCTAAGCAAAGTATGGCCAAAGCAGCAGGGAGGCACAGACAGGACACATCACCTCCCCAGCTGTGCCTCAGTGGATCAGTGAGCTCAGGAGAAGGGAGGATGGAGCCTCCACCTGCTCTCCTTAGCCACCTGCCCTTCACAGCTTCCCTTCCCCTGCCCTCCACACCTGTCCCTGTGCAGCTCCCAGTGCCAACCCAAGCCCTGCCCACTGCTCAAACCACCCCTGGACAGGCTGTGGAAGCAGCTGGGGCACTTAGGAGACACCTGGAGGACTCCTGCCCAGGTTCCTGCTCCCCAGGTGAGTGCCAGGGCAGTGTCACTTCCCTCTGCACGCTGCAGAGAGCTGTGTGCCCTCTCAGGGGTGAGTGTGGGCAGGAGATGAGCTTTTGAGGACAGAGTACTCATCCTTGGGGGGAAACAATTCGGGGCACAGGTGCTACATGTAGAATGAGGCTTTGAGGACAGAATACTCATCCTTGGGGGGAAACAATTCAGGGCACAGGTGCTACATGTAGAATGAGGCAGAAAAGCTAACAAGAACTAAATTTACACTGTAAGAGCCACAGTTAATGCCTAATCTCCAAGTCACTCATCTCTGATCACTCAAATCAGAGCAGTCAAGTCTGGTCACTTGGATACATGGAAGGGTGACAGCAAGATCAGGCCAAGCAGGTTCTGCTTCAGAGAAAGACACACCAAGAGGTATATAAAGTATTTAAGTGTCACCACACAAAGCTACTCATGACTATACCCTGATCAGCCATCCTGTAATGGCAACAGCTCCAGCTCCTTCCAGGAGTGTTCCATGGCAGTGTTGGCTCCAAGCTCCTTCAGGGGTTGATTCCTGCAGTGCAAACCTTCCACACCATCAACTACCACCCCCAGCACTTGATCTAACACTCAAATTTCCTCTCAGATCTCAAGGAATGGGAAGGGATTGTCAAGTTTCTCTGCCAAACACTAAGATTCCTCTCAGCTCTCACAGGAATGGGAAGGGTAAGGTTTCCACTCTCACTGCTCAGAGGACACAGGACAGTTTTACCTCTATGCCAAGTGCAGAGAGGGCACCAGTTGGTCCTTCTGCAGTCTGTCACTGACATAACTCCCTTCAAAGATCAGCCTAGGGAAGCACTTTTCCTGCCTCTCATCAGGAGGTGGCTAGAACTCTTCCATGAAAAGAACTTTGCCTCTTTCACCCAGCTGCAAATTTGCTACAGAAAGCAGCTCTTTAGGATCCTAAGCCTGCTTTGAACTCAGTTCCTTTTAGTCTCTGTTTGCACTGTCCAAAGAAAACAGGATGTCCAAATAAATAGCTGGAATTGGCCCGGGAGGGGTGACTTCAGGAGGTGCAATTCAAGTCCTGGTAGCAGCAAAAAAATTTCCTTACAAGGGGTGAGGATGGGCTCTGTGCTCAGGTAGCAGCACCAGCACCATGGAGCACTCAGGTATGCAGGGATGATCTCACCCTGTAAGGTTCCTGGGCTAAAAAATATCATTCCAAAGGTCAGTATTCCTCACAGAGCTGCTGCCAACAGGCACCAGCAGGAAAAAAACGGTCCTGTGTGTGCCCAGAGGCTTTCACCCCAGCAGGAGTGAGGATGGGCTCTGTGCTCAGGTAGCAGCACCAGCACCATGGAGCACTCAGGTATGCAGGGATGATCTCACCCTGTAAGGTTCCTGGGCTAAAAAATATCATTCCAAAGGTCAGTATTCCTCACAGAGCTGCTGCCAACAGGCACCAGCAGGAAAAAAACGGTCCTGTGTGTGCCCAGAGGCTTTCACCCCAGCAGGATTCCCTGTCTTCATGGGTGCCTGATCTCAGTGCCCCTCTCAAATTCCCAACATCTTCCCATTCAGCCAGTTCCAGGCACAACTTGGGCATCCTGAGTGGAGTGCAGCTTCCAGCTTTGCACCTCACTCTGCACAACATTCCATACAACCACCAGCAGCTTCATCTCCAAGTACTGAACCAAAGCTGCTCCCCACAACCCCCAAAGCCTGTGCTGGGCACCACACACCTGGGAGGCTGTTTCTGCCCATGCCACAGCCTGTGCTGCCTGTGAGATGTGCAGAGCTCAAGCACTGAGCAAGTTCTGTGCTGCACCACAACACCTGTGTCCCACTGGCACTAGCTCCTGCCCCTCTGAGCCAGCATGGGCACAGTGTGATTATTAAGACAAAGAGGAGTCATCTGGGTCAGGAACACTTTTTAATCAGCTCAAGGTGTTCCAAATTTCACCTGAGAAGAGGCTGAAGGCTGCTGTAGTCCTGTGTTTTCATTCTCCTCTTCCCCAAATCTCTCCTTTACAGGAATGTGGTTGTTTTACCCCTTCACCTCCATCCACGAATGCCCTCTGGAGTCACTTTAACTTCAGTGTCATGAAATTATTATGTAGCTCTTGCCTCATTTACAGAACTAGCTTTAGTAACCCCAAAGTCTAGCTCTACGTCCATCCAGGTGCAGCTCCACATGAAGTACCTGTGGGTTCAATGCTTTAATTAGAAGCTTTTTGCCTGTAAATACACAACTGTTGTTGTGTGTCCACTCCACGTATTTCCATGATTGGGAAGGGAAAGCAGCCAAACTCCAGTGTTCTCCCTGGAGGCTGAGTAAAGCTGCTGGATACATCAGATTATCAACACTCATCATCCTCTGGTGGGCTTGGAGGGCAGGTCCGACCGGCCCCTGGAGCACACAGGTCACATACTTGGGTCAGAGTCCTCCCTTGCAGGACAAACTGAGCGTGTCTGATGTGCAGCACCAAATCTTCCTCAGAGGCTGAGTCCTCCTGCAGCAGAAGGTGTCATTGGCCCCAAAAGCCACAATGCCAGGGCCATTCCTCCCCTGGCATTATGTACACATTGAAAAAAAAACCAAATTAAAACATCCATTCACACGCAAAGGCTCTATTGGCAACTTTGATCTTCTCCTACTGTTCATTAAATCCCCAAGGATGAGCATTTTGCAATTGAAAAATAAAATGGGTTTGTTTTCCTTTTTAAAAGAAGAATTTCTACATTGCTTGTCAGCCAACTAATTTCAATCACAACATCATCTAAGAACAAAGCAAATCCTGGCCAAGAGTGGCTGCCATGGACTCTGCAGAGTCAAGGGGAGCAGCATGCCCCAGCTCCTCACATCCCTGCACCCCAGCTAGGAACCTGTGCTGAACTCCAGGTGATTTTCCTCGTCATGATTCTCTCCAAGCTTAGGAATGATCCAGTCCTTGTGATGGCTGCACTTCAGGGGAGCAGTGGGGTGGAGAGGCTTCTGGGCAGCCCCCAGGGTTAGTGGCAGTGCTCTGTGATATCCACCACCACTGCCTTTTTCCAGCTGAAGAAGAAGTAGCCGGTGCCTGCGCCTGCTGCCACGGCGATGCACAGGTACCCGTTGTAGGTCATGAAGATCAGCATCAGGAAGTAGCTGACCACCACCTGGATGATGTGCAGCACAGTCTGCAGGAGGTGAGGGAAGCTCAGCATCTGCTGTCTGACAACACAAACCCAAACAACAGTCAGCAACCATGAGACAGGTGGGAAAGGCACATCCCCAAAGGCAAAGCTTAGCTCTTAGGCTGTTAGGATGGTATGGAATGGCAGAGAAGGGAATAAGAGGCTGGAAAGGGACCTGTGCATGCAGCTGGCACCTGGAGCTGTGGTTTTCCCCACAGAGTTGCCTGCTAGCAGAGCAAGCATGGAGCTTGCAGGGAGGACAGACCTTTTAGCTGAGAAACAGACTTTTTTTAAAGCTTGTTTTACCCCCGTGCAATAAGCAAAATGGCTTCTATTCTGCTCAGAGGTTTTTCTACCTGTCAACAGAAGGTCCGAGGTATTTTCTGTCAGGGTCACTGGCCATAAACCCCAAATCCTGTTCCTGAGAACTCCCCAGATGTGTTCATTACAAAATCCCAAGCTCATCTGGCTCCTTGCCCCAGCTTTCTTTTCTCTCCTTGTCTCATCTTTCCTCCTCTTGTCCCCTATTCTTGAGGACTCTGTGGCCAAGCACAGAGTCCTCCAGTGCCAAGCAATATCCCAGCCTGGAGCCAACACACTCTTCAGAGATCAATACTGCATAAAGCCTCTTCTGCCCCACCTTCACCTGAAGAGAACTGCCTTAGAATGAAGTGAAATCCTTACCCAACGGTTTTGTGTGTCTCCATCAGGATTGTGCCATTGGGGCCTGGCACTGGCATGGAGTTATAGCGGATGCTGACTTGGGATTTACGGAGCAGACACTCCCGGGCAATCTTAAGGCCTTCATAAAACATGGCCAGGAAGAAGACAGCCACAAAAGCACCAGCCATTTCTGATAAAAGAGGAAACATGACTGTCTCTGTGCAAGAAAACATGTCAGGACAGACAGGGTGACTGAACAGCCATGTCGTGCTGTGCAGGCTGCAGCCTGGAACCGTGTGGATAAGTGGAAGTGGGAATTTCATCCACACAATAAACAGCCATGTCGTGCTGGAACCGTCGTGCTGAAGCCTGGAACTGTGTGGATAGGTGGAAGTGGGAATTTCATCCACACAATAACTGCAATTCCACCCAAGAAGGGAAACCAGCAATCATTTCTGCTATTAAGACCAAATTCTTGAAGTGTACAAACATCTCCCTGTTCCTTTTACTTGACAGATGCCGTTTACACCAGACTCAGCACAGTGTCTGTGTATTTTTGGTGTAAGTAACAAGGTAATTCCTGAAACATCAATCCTGAAACATCAGTTCTGCAACATTCATCCTGACACATCAATCCTGAAACATTCATCCTAAAATATCAATCCCAAAACATTAGTCACTTGCAAAGGTTTTGTTTGTTTGGATTGGACGAGACAAGTGTTACTAACCTCCAGGAGAATTGATTGTAAGACAGCGTTACTAACCTCCAGGAGAATTGATTGTAAGTCCAGAAAACAGCAATGGCACATTCTCATAGCTGAAGTGGAAAGTCATTGCCTGCCCAAAACATAAAGAACACCAAGATGAGCCTCAACAGCTCATCTGAGATGAAGCTCACAGCAAGGTTTAGCAAAGGAGATTGTATCAGGACAAGAACTCAGAGCAGTTCAGTTGGACACCAGACAGACACAGAGAAGCTCTCCAGTAAACCCAGTGTAACACACACAACTGGGACAGGGCTAAGATGCTCCAGGCCCCAGCCTCAGCTCCTGCAGGCAGTCCTGGGCAGAAGGCACTGTCCTTCACAGCCCCTGCTACAGAAAATGCCTTCTCCTTGCTTTTGGAGCTCCTTTCCTCCTCTGCATCAGCAGCAGTCAGGGACTGGGGATGTCTCATCCTTGCCTCCTCATCCTCTCAGGGACTGGGGTACAGGGCACTCTCTTCTCCCCACTTTGACCTCATCTGAGCTCAGAACAATGTAAAAGCTTGTACAGCTGAGCCCTCTGATCCCACCCTGCCCTGTGCCAGCAGGCTACTGTCTCCCTATGGAACTTCCTAACATCCTGTGGCAAACAGAGGCCCAAGCACAGGTGCCACAAGGAGTATATATGTAAAGCAGGATCACATCTTCCTCTGGATGAAGATAAAGCCTCCTGAGCCTGCACTGTGGGAAGGGGAGACATCAGCAACCCCACAGCCAGCTGAGGTGATACAAACCTCCCATCCAGTTCAGCATGTCCTGGCCACAGCTGCACAGTGTTTTCACATGGAAAGGACTGACCAAGCAAGAGGAAGCTCTCTTTGAACTCCCCTCATGGCTTAATTAAGGTTATTTGCTGAAGCTCAGAGTTATGATTCATTTCAGCATCCCTAAGAATCAGCACTCATCACCCCCAGAGCAGAAATTACTGTGAAACAGCTTTTAGAGAGTACTTCCCTCTCTTTAATGAACTTGTGTTTTACATTTAAAACAAAACCCACATAAACCAAAGAACTGCAGCTGAACCTGAGCCTGTTACTCGGTGCCAGTGAGGAATGGGAATATTAACACATTAAATGTGCTTAGTCTATTATCTAGAACGTTGTTTACTGCTTTCCCTGACAGATTTATGTACAATATTAATCCCAAATCTTGTGCAATTACTCAGTTCTCAGCTGCAGGGCAGGGCAGGGGCTTCCACCTCTCCACTGAAGATAAAAGCACTTGCCAGTTGTAAAGAAATGACATTTATATGGAAAGTAATGGTTCAGGGGATGCTAAAGACCTGTTGGGATACAGGAAGAGCTTCTCAAGGGCAGCAGTGACAATATTGGGCTGAGAGTTCCTCCTGGGCCCCTCACCAAGGGGAGGCTGTTCTGGTCCTCTCTTGTGCTATGATACTGATTTCAGCAGAAGCAGTGTTGATTCCCTCCCTCAGGGGCACTGAGCTGCAGGCAAACTCCAACAGAAGGTTTGCAAAATACACACCTGAGAAGGGGGGCACTGAGCTGCAGGTAAACTCCAACAAAAGGTTTGCAAAATACACACCTGAGAAGACTCTCATTTGAAATGGAAATGTACACTCCCTCCCCTGCTTTTGAAGTTTAACCCTGAACAGGCATGTTTGAAGCATCTTATGTAAAAGGTTGCATATGAGTTTGTT